TTAGCGGAAAAAATATCCTTTTATAGTTAGCGAATAAAATATCCTTTTAAGAAAAGACCGGTTTTTTTCTTTCTAACAAGTAACACTAATCAAGTGTAAAACACCATTTTTCTTGAAACTCAGCATATACATAGCATATGACATGACATTTCATGTGATATTTTATATTGGCCCGTTTGTGAATTTGCATAATTATTTAGACGATTGTTTATCAAAACTCGAAGTGGCAATGTATGTAAAAACTATCTGATAAACCCATAACACATAAACTCATAAAATACATAAATCTAAATCCTTTAAACACATAAACTTACACATTAAAAACCCAGAGTACAGTGTGGTAAATTGAATAGCGGGAGAATTTGGATAATTAATATTAAGCGTTTGCGACAATTTCAGAACAATAGGAGACGCTTTGTTTTATGTTTGAGGTTAACAGTAAGGAAGATACTGTGGTCTACATATTTATAAAAGTTTTAAAGAATATTTGTAAATATGAAGGTCTATGGAATATTTTACATTAAGCAGAGTAGGTAGAGAACTTTTGTTGTTACTGTAGTTTATAAAAATATATTCTGTTAGCTCGAGCTTTTATAAAATTTACGTAAAAACTATGATAACAATATAATCTAAAAATGTTTCCCGCATGTATTAGCGATCACCGCGTCGACTAGTGGCGCATTTTGTTGAGTTATTGTAGTACTATATTACAATGTTTTCATATCGGCGCACGGGGTAATTTGAATACATTTTTATGGGACAATTTGGATATCGCACTCAGTTCCCTAATATGTATATTTCAACTGTTTTAAGACATATTTCGTTATTTCAAATTGTGAGACATTACGAAAAAAGGATACTCCACTAAATTGGAACAAAGAAAGTATGAGGCAAGCCATTACATCTGTTATTAATAGTGTGATGTCCATTTTAGGAGCTGCACAGTTCTACAAAAGTTTATACAGAAAAGTTCAATTTAATCGAAGGTAAATATATAATGAAAATGAAGTCCTTCGCACTTCTATTGGGCGCTCCGCCGTATTTAATAGCGTTTTAGAAAAAACTTGACTGTGTATCCCAGATAGCACATGATATCCTGAGAATATTCTGAGAATATTCTGTAAGTATCACATTTGATATACCTAGAATATATTCTATACATACTATGATATACTCAGAATATATTCACGATGTTTCTATGTCCGCAGCAATATTGTTCTCAGAATATCCTTAGAATATCATCCATGATATTCTTAAAATATACGTGAAATAGTCTCAGAACATCAGAATACCGAATATATAAATTATTATTAACACACGGGCATACACAAATAGAATCAGACGCACTCCTATATAACTTAATGTTTGATCATTTTGTTAAAATAATAAAAAAAAAACATGGTGCATCATATGTTGCATCACTTTGCTTATACGTGTTTCTGCATGGTTTCGAACTCGAACTGCATTGGTCATCTCATTTCCTAGTCTTACGAGTAACACTACCCAACTGACACTCACTGATTCGAATGAAACTTAACATATTTATTAAACACTTAAAAATATTGAACACGTGTTTTTTGTTTCTGCTAAATATGCATTTTAAGGGTAGAAATCATTCTTCAATCCCTGGGGTGTGGAAATAACTACGATTAATTATTTCCAAAACGATACATTTTCTGAAAAATGTGCTCAGGACCAAAGTTGTAGAGTTTAAAGTGATGCACTTAATGGTGACTTTGAGTCGATCTTGAAGTCGATTTTCAAAGTCAGTTGAAGATTACCTTATATTTTTCAAAGGAAATACCTACTTTTAACCTCGACAATCGATAGAGCGTAAACTTTTACGTTCAGAACATGGACGATTGATTAAAAAGGATAGAAAATCATAAAAAATAAATGATCAAGTAATTTTGAGAAATGCTTACTCAACGACAGTCGCGAAAATGACAATTGATTACATGTCCAAATGAAATCCTAACACAAAATAAAGAGTAAAAGATGTTGCGGATAACTTCAGAGTAGCAATAAAAATCAGAAAAAAATGAAGATATTATTTTAATATAATATGAGTAATGTTGAACTTACAATTAAAGTGACACTTTACATTTTCTTACTTTTACTTCTATTCTAAAGTTACCCACCAAACTTTTTTTTTCTTATTTTTTCTGTGAATTTGCACTTAAAATTTTCTCACCACGTGATTTTTTAGGAAAATAACGCGACAGATCAATTCTGAAGATAGATTTAGAGTCAGCGCACGAAATCACTGATTATGTACAAGATGTGGCAAAAGTCCGGTAACGGCCAAATTGACCTTGAAAATCGATCTCAAGGTCAACTAAAAGTCACCATCAAGTGCATCATTTTAAACCCTACAACTTTGGTTCGGAGTACATTTTTCAGAAAATGTATCGTTTCGGAAATAAGTAGCTGTTCCGATACTCCAGGGATTGAGGGGTGATTTCTATTCTTAAAATGCGCATTTAGCAGAAACAAAAAAACACGTGTTCAATATTTTTAAATGTTTAATAAATAAATGTTAAATTTTAAATGTTAAATTTCATTTGAATCGGTGAGTGTCAATTGGGTAGTGTTACTTGTTAGTCGCGAGAATTGACGGGAGCAAGTAAGCGTCGAGAAAGCTCGGCGGAACGCAGCGAACACATTGGCCACGGTACTTAGTCGTGAGGATTGTCGGAGAGGCGTGAGAACGCGAGGAAGGCGAAATCGGTGACAAGAAAGCTCGACGGAGATTGCGAACGCACAATCTGCGGTTGCCGGACTCGCCTATGCGGGATAGGACACTACCTAGGAGGCAGAGACGATAGGGTCGGAATCCTTGCTCGCCGCTCTGAGATCGGTATGCCGGTCCGGTTTCGTGGCCGCGGTTTATATACCCGCTTTTGCTTCGTCTATTACGCACCCAACAACATCGTCTAACAACAACAACAAACGATGTAAAGAAGCGTGATAGGCGATGTGGCGCGTGTTGTTATTTCCGCGTTCTTTAGGCCTGTGGCGTTTGAGGTGGCGCAACGCGCCGGTGCACGGCCGGACTGGAGTCGGTCGGGCCGGTTTGGGTGACGATGCCTGGTTGCATCGTCACATATTTATACTTGATGCTATTTGGATTTGGTACACTTTCAAGCAGTTTGATGATTCCGTAGTACGGACCTTTTGGATTTACCTCTTTAATGTTTTTTTAACTTTAAAAATAAAACTTTGAAACTTTAAAAAAATTTTAATGTTTTTTTAATTTTAAAAATATTAGAAAAAATTAAAATACATGCATGCCTCGTAAACTTGTGTGAATGTGTATGCGTGTGCGTGCCAGTGTGTGAGAAAGAGGGAAAATGTTCTGCTTTTTCGAATTTTATAATGAAAAATACTACTTTTTATATAAGAAAAAAAAGTTAATCTTGAAATATTCTTGAAAAGCAGCTCACGTAGTTTTTAAGGTCGCCATCATATGTTCTCCTCAAAACCCTGTACTTTTTATATTCAAAATTTTTTCTTATACAACGCATATTTTAGAAAATATTTTAATGTTTTATTTTTCTACAGTGTATATTTTAGAAAATATTGAAATATTGGAAATTTTTCAATTGGACACCTTATATACTGCTTATATACGGTTCGCGCTCAATGGTTTTCGGCTCTTTATTGGGGAGCATCCACCGTAGATAGCGTCCGGATTCCGTTACGGTTAGAAGATATCGGTTACGATTCTTCGACAGATTCTTGAAGCGACTTGGCGAAACCGCATTGGACATCTCTGCGGATAACCGACAGAAAGTTAATATCGCTATGCATTATGTTTAGCGAACTTTAGCGTTGTTGGCCTAATAGTATGTCAGTATCTATCGGTTGCTCGTAATGAGTAGTTTTCTATAACACTTCTTTACAAATTAAATTTAATTTAATTAAAAAATAGATTTGTCCCTCCCTCCAAATCATAACAAATATTTAATATGATTACCTCTTAAGATATTATGGCAAATATAGTAATCCTGATTTCGTCGTGCATGGGAATGCATTCAATAAATACGCGCCTATCGATACAAACGATAAATGGACTCGAGATAAATCGCGAGTTAAATCGTATACAGAAAGAAATGACGTGTTAATGATATCGCGAGGACAGATTACACGATAATACACGAGCTGATTACACAAGTTATTACACGTTTCATCAATTACATCGCAGGTCGCCAGCCACCCCCGAAATAATCTCATGACGGATAATAGGAGAATAGGAGGTTATATTAAACATTTAGTACGATTTTGAACAAATTTATTTCTATTTATTTCAATTCAATTTAACTCTATTCAATTTTGTTAAAAAATAATTATCGCAATAATTAACGCAAAATAATTATCTTATTGTTTTAATAAAAAAAATTTTACCTTCTGTTATTTAAATTCTATTTTTTTAAGAGATTCGCTTTTTAATTAAATTCCAAACATTAAATAAAAATATATTTTTTAAGAAAAGGTTTGAGAAATCTAAAAAAAATATATCCAATAATAAAAAATCCTACTCATTTAAAAATTTAGGGATTAAGAAATTTAGAAACGATTTGTCCCTCGGCTTTTTAGTATAATACAAAAAATGTATTAAACTATCTTAACGACGTTCGTTTAGTACAAAAATACAAATACAAATCAAATAAAAATATAAATACAAATCTAAATCTAATAAATAATATAAAAGTTTTTAGGAAATACTTATAATGTTTTAGATTCTAATTCTTCGGATGTGAATCTGTCAATAATGGTGCGCTATTAGGAAACAATTTATATGAACTTATGTATAATTTTCACCTAATTTATACACTTATAAGAGATTATCCATCTTTATTGAAATCTCGTATATTTTTCGACATTTTTTCTGTTTTGATATTTCTTAACGAAAGAAATGCTCAATTGGATTTTTAGAACGACGGAAAGATAGAAACATAAGAAGAATAACAGATAAATGTTTTGTAATTTTTTTTAAGGTACCCAAATCTTAATGTACGCGCTGTAACTCCGATACAAGTACGTAGTCTTCTCGACACAGACGATCCTGAGAGTGTCAAACAACCTACAATACAGTCCGAGATTGATATTCCAAAGAAACGAAGACGTCGCGGTAAGTTGAATGATATATAATACAAAGTTGAATGATACACAGGGTGTCTTAAAACCACCGGAATTGCTCTTAATGGTAGATTCCTTATAATATTTTAAGAAGAAAATTCTAATACAAAAATGTCAAGGCTATAATAGGTTTTAAACGGGAAAAGATTACATTTAACGAATGGCAGAGCTGAGATTTCGCGCGCTCAGGTACGGAAAAATGACAAATGCAACAAATGCTCCTATTAATGGGGCGCTCTTTTTATGATATTATTGTCATATAAATTTGCAATATGTTTTTGCTTCTCTATGTATTGCATATTAATACATTTTTTTCACAAATAAAAGATGTAAAAACTAAAGGCATATAAAAAATAATTCAAGTAAAAATTTGCATTTTTCAACTTGAGCTGTCAATGTCATTTTCAGATTAACATTACCATGAAGGTATCTATGCTACGCTGTGCGAGACAAATAAATTGTAATAGAATTAATAGCTGTTTATTTTGTATTTTAGAACATTTTGGAATGTTCGTAACGAAATACAAATTGCAATGGTTTTAGTAAAAATCAATTTAAACAATAATTATAATTCAAACGTATTTAATAAACCTTAATTTAACACACTTTAAAAAATTAACACTGTTAACATATTTAACGAATTTTAATAACAACAAAACAGTTCAACAGATTAAATAACAAACTAAAATATTTTTTTTACAATGAATATACAAAGTGTCCACCATCGCATTTAATACATAATTGTGCGGGTCGCAATAGACTGCTTGTTGCGTTTATAATTATGTTTGGTGTTATTTAAACAATTTTACCTTACAATTCCTCGTGATTATTAACTGGCTATTTATGTATACATGTTTTTTAGTATGATCGCATAAATAGTAATCCAAAGGTGTCATATCGAGTGACTGATCAACTTATAGGACCATCTTCTCGAAAATTTTT